AGAGGCTGACTTTCTGAATGGAAGAAATATGAAATTGAGTGTTCTGGGATGATCACCATCCACCAGCCACATGGACAAAAAAAAGAAAAAAAGATTCAAACTAGAAACACAAAGAATGCAGACAGTAGGCTCTGGAGATTTTAGCTGGAAAACCCCGTGTGGCAGTAAGGAAATGAGTGTTCTCAAAATACAAAGATAGCTTTTACTACCTTTGGCATTCCTTAGATAAAAACTAAAGGTTTCTCTCTCTCTCTCTCTCTCTCCCTCTGGCTGAATTTTCAAGTTTTCAGCAGAGTATGTGGTATAAAATCATCTGATTCCATCATGATCTCATCCTTTAAAGCAGAGGTCTTTATTAAACACAAATGGAATGAAAAAACATAATCTATTAACAATGAACAGGAAGGTTAAAAAAAAAAAACAGGATCAGTCATTTGGGGGGATCCCTGAGAAGTGAAAATATGGGGCTGCTTGTTCAAATATGAAGAACTTTAAAGCCGGGTGTAGTGGCTCCCACCTGCAATTTCAATGCTTTGGGGAGCCAAAGTGGGAGGATCACATGAACCCAGGAGTTCAAAACCGGCATAGGCAACATAGTAAGAGACCCCCTTCTATAAAAGAATGAATGAATGGATGGATGGATGAACAAATTCATAAATTGTAGGAGCATTCTCCTCCATGACTAAGAAACATTCATTTCTTATAAGAATGTTCTACTTTATGCTGGACACAGTGAGAGGCTCACACGTGCAGTCCCAGCACTTTGGGAGGCTGAGGCAGGAGGATTGCTCAAGGCCAGGAGTTCTAGACCAGTGTTGGCAATATAGCAAGACTGTGTCTCTACAAGAAATATATAGATATAAACTCATTTAAGTGGCACTAGCAGATCATTCTCCCAAGCATGGGGCCCTTGGATGCATGGAATTGTGTGTGGCTACAGTCCGCAGGGCGGCAAAGCCAGCCCCATTAAAGAGGCAGAGATTGTCCAGTGACAAATTGTCCATTTACCAATTGCTTGCTGTAAAAACCGTCCATTGTGATCTGGATGAGAAATCGACTGACCCCCTGCCACCCAAAATGGCAGCTCTCTCCCCTAGATGTCATCACCATTGGGAACATTCGAGTCTTGCTCTAGGCAATCTGGTTTTAAACTTTATTTTCCATGTACAGTTTCAGATTATACAAAACATAGAAAATGGACTATTTTAAAGGTACATTAAGTAGAAAGTTTCTAACTGCCCTAAAATCACATTTCTCCCCAAACCAAAATCCAAAGTCAACCTCTAGGCCTTGCCCTAGCATTTCCCCAACACCACGAAATCGTCCAACTTGCACTATCATCAGTAACCTTTAAACGATTAGTGAGTTTAGTAATACCCCCCAAGGCAGATTTGAAACTATGATACAGCTTCTATCTAGGCCACTGTGTCTAGTGTGTTTACAAACCGGCTTGAAGTTCTAGGTTTCCTCATCATCAGCGAACACAGAGTGTTCTAGAACTTCAGCCTGTTCATGAGGGGTGTCCACAAAAGCACGAAAACTATAGCAGAGTGTGTGGAAGTGAGGAGGTCTCTGATGTCCCTGTATTCAGGTATATGTACACACATTCACACAGACCAGCAAGTCAAGCATTCTCCAAACTCATTGGAACAGAGACCCAAAATAATTTTAATGCAAATAACAAAATGAGTTAGTCTGTCTCCATCACATAGTCCCTCAATGAAAGAATTACAGTACTTTATAAAAATGTCATAAAATACGCAAACTACAGTTCCTTCAAATGCAGTTGATGCTCTCTTTGGTCCTAATATTTGCTTCCTGGATGTCAACTAATCTTGCTGTTATTGCTCTTGAACAGCTGGTAGTAAGCACCAAGTGGGGGCTGATTCTGCCTACAGGGAAGAAGGCTGGATGTTTTCTCCCTTATGTCGTGGTTTCTTTCCCACTTCCCAAAGGCATGTCATACAGCAGGAAAGAGGCATCACTCATGCCTCAGAAAACCTTCATGGCACAGGTGGATGTGGGCACTGAATGTTGTACAGTAGTGGCAGCCAGCCGGGAAAATCCACAGGATCATTTCAGACTGCATGCAACAAGATACTCACATAGCCCTGACGTTTTGGTTTTTCTGTTTTGAGACAGCAGTCTCACTCTGTCGCCCAGAGTGCAGTGGCGCGATCTCGGCTCACTGCAACCTCTGCCTCCAGGGTTCAAGCGATTCTCTGCCTCAGCCTCCCAAGTAGCTGGGATTACAGGTGCCCGCCATCAAGCCCAGCTAATTTTTGTGGTATTTTTAGTAGAGACAGGGTTTTACCATCTTAGCCAGGCTGGCCTTGAACTCCTGACTTTGTGATCTACCCGCCTCAGCCTCCCAAAGTGCTGGTATTACAGGCGTGAGCCACCGCACCTGGCCAGCACTGACATTTTTTGTGAAGAGAATTCATGTATTGCTTGGGAGTTGATCTCTGGTTCTAAGGTACTTTGTTTGTTTCCATCATGACTGCCAGAAAATTATAGAAAAGCCACCAAGGTAGAAAGTTTCGAGGGAACTTAACATTCAACTTCCTCCATGAGCTTGGGTAGCAGCATCCTGTTAGCCCCAGGGGTGTACACCATGTTCTTGAACACAACATGCCCAGTGATGGTTTCTCATGGAGGCAGGAGGTGACATTCATCCTGTCTCTGGCCCCAGGCTACCCTGTAATGATTGGTGGCTTCTCCATGGGTTGCGGGGCGGGGGGGGGGGGGTCCTACCTCATAGACTGCAAGCTTCATGAGGGCAGGGAGGATATCTGGATTTGCTCACCCCTATATTTTCAGAGCCTCACACAGTGCCTGGAACATGGTAAACATTTAACACTATTTGTCTAAAACAAATGAACGAAAGAGTAGAAGGAAAGACCCAATCCTGCATTGACAAGATATCCATGGTGGCCCTAAAACTACCCAAACCAGATGTCTCTGAAGCTCCACTGAAAGCGAGCTGATGGCAAACGATCACTCCACTAAGCAGAAGGTCAAGTGCAAAAGGATTTAAACAGCACGAAGTCTATCACTCCATCCCAGGACAGCCTCCAGCATGCTGCTCCAACTAAGAGGGAAAAGACAATGACATCCAAAGAGCTTCTATCCTGAGATGGTTTCTGGGAGGCCTGCATTGATTGCCACACGCACATCATGCTTCGACCCTGCAGGACAAATCCCCGAGAGCTCTATTTCTCAGCGCAGTCTTATAATCACCTGGGAATCATCCACCCAGACCCGCTAATCAGCCTGTCCCAAGTGGCGCAGGAGCCCCTAAAGCCTGAGAACCCCGGGACCTTCTCACCACATTTGCTGTCGGGACCATGGGCCCCTCCATGGACATGTTCTCTGGGTGTTACACAGAAGGGTACTGCCCAATAAATGTCATATGCACAAACTGAAAGGAGCTATATTTAGACTGATCTAAATGCCTAGATGCCTCCAGGAGCATTTAAAAATAGGCACGAATAAAGCAGCGCCCCTCCCATGCCACAGGCCTCAATTTTGAATTCTTTATGGTATTCTCAGCAGCCTCCATCATGGTGTGCAATTAAGTTTTTCTTTTTGAGATGGGGTCTCGTTCTGTCACCCAGGCTGGAGTGCAGTGGCATGATCTCGGCTCACTGCAACATCCACCTCCTGGGTACAAGTAATTCCTCCTGCCTCAGCCTCCTGAGTAGCTGGGATTACAGGCATGTGCCACCATGCCTAGCTCATTTTTGTATTTGTAGTAGAGACGGGGTTTCACCATTTTGGCCAGGCTGGTCTCGAACCCCTGACCTCAGGTGATCCACCTGTCTTGGCCTCCCAAAGGATGGGATTACAAGTGTGAGCCACTGCGCCCAGCCAGTTTTTCTAATTAATTTTTAATCTGTCTCCTCTACTAGGCCATGAGCCCCAGCAGGAAGCTGTCTTGAGAGGGTATCACCTCTGCCTGGCATATGCATACGCGTCATGTTTTATGTTGATTAATGAAAGAATGGTGGGCAGGTCCACTGAGGCTCTAGGAATAGAGGTGAGAGGCCAGCCAGGTATAGCATGAGGTGATGGACAAGAAGGGATAGGCCTTCTGGGATAGGATGGGAAGGATGCTGTACCCCACTCCTTGAAGGTGTCTATGAGTTCACATGGCCCAGGAATGGAGTTTGGGGGCCCTGGAAATAGCTGTGGTGATGGAGATCAAGGTTTTGGTTTGCTGTAGTGGGTACACCCACCTCCCCATCCCCACTTGATGACATCCTAGCATTTATGAAGCAGCTCTGCTCACCTGGCCCAGGGACTGGACTGTGGTCCACAACTTCAATGCATCTGAAGCGTTGCCCAGGGAGCGTGTTAGAAATGCAGATTCCCTGACCCCATCCCTTGAAGACTCCGATTCGGTAGGTCGGGGGTCGGGGCGGAGCGGTGGAGGGCGCTGTAGGTTTTGCCTAAGGGTGAGTCTAAATCTGGCTCGCAGGTAAAGGATCACCATTCCTAAGGCAAGCAGGTGACACTGTCGGCAAATTTAGGTGAGACTTCTTCTGACCCACCCCTATACCGGAGGGTTGGTTGGGCTCTGATTTGGATACAGAAGGAAGGCCGGCGGCTACACCTGCTTCTCACTTGGCACTTGGGCTGCACCTCTCAGGAAGCTGTGGTTCCTCTCCTGCACTCCACCTCACCGCTTCCCCCCGCCACTAGCAGAGAGACTCCGGAGGGGCTTGGGCCAGCTGAGACCTATAGGAATCACATCCCCAGAGAACAGCTTTCCCAGCCCCTCATCTCATCCCATCACAGCCCCATGGTTAAGAAATGTCCTGCCCAGCACTTTTGGATTTGAGCATTGCTGGATTTTTGCTTGTGTCTTGTTGAGACTTTTGAGTGGGCAGCAGTTTTCTGAATACCAGCCTTCATAGTCTATTCTCTGATCTCAAGAATGCAAAAACTCTTCTCTCTTTTGGATTTTTTTTTCTTTTTCTCTTCTTTTATAATCATTATTTTTTTTTGGCTTTTAAAGGAAACATTACATTTGCTAGAAAAACCTCACAAAAAAATAATGATTATATACAAAATGGTTATCTGAATGTGGACTCTGTACTGCAGAAAAGCAGCCCAGCTCCGGAACTCTATTTGCGCTTCCTCAGTATCAGGTACATCAGGCCGCTGATGAAGGTGCAGGCGAAGGCCACCCACGCCAGGATGTAGGAGTAGCCGTAGCTGCCTCCTTCGGTCAGGTTATAGAACTCCGTGTTTTTCTTGTGAATGTCTTCACGCCTGTCTGTATAAATGGAGGCCGCAATCATGACACACAGACCTGTCAGGAAGAAAGGTGCATTTTGAATAAGTCATGGACGAAGTGCACTCTGGCACCCAGGGACATACAGCCAGAGTTGAAGACAAACTTCAGCTTTTATTCTTTATGTTGTTTGTTTGTTTGTTTGTTTTTGAGACAAGAGTCTCACTCTGTTGCCAAGACTGGAGTGCAATGGCGCAATCTCAGCTCACTGCAACCTCTACCTCCCAGGTTCAAGCGATTCTCCTGCCTCAGCCTCCCAAGTAGCTGGGATTATAGGTGCCCACCACTATGCCCAGCTAATTTTTTGTACTTTTTTAGTAGAGACGGGGTTTCACCATGTTGCCCAGGCTGGTCTCAAACTCCTAACCTCATGATTTGCCCGCCTCAGCCTTTCTAAGTACTGGGATTACAGGTGTGAGACACCAGGACTGGCCTATTCTTTATTTCTTATTATTTTTTTGTAGAGACAGGATTTTGCCATACTACCCAGGCTGGTCTTGAACTCCTGAGCTCAAGCAATCCTCCTGCCTTGGCCTCCCAAAGTTCTGGGATTACAGACGTGAGCCACTGTGTGCAGCCTTAAGCTCTTATTATTAATAGGCATTTATTTTAGTCTCTTGGAAAAATTACAACTGATATTTTGTGGCAGGACATTGCCACCTACCCTGTAGCTATTGTGCTTCCCATTCTTGCTAACTCAACCCAGCTTTGTTTGGGCAGCCACCTCACCAACTCCGAGGGTGAACATAACTGGTCTAAGCAGAGGTCTACAGACGTGCCCTGCAAAGGGCCAGACGGTAAGCAGTTTAGGTTTTCTGCAGGCCACAGTCAAACTACTCACGTCTGCCGCAGAAGGGTGACAACAGCCATGGACAATACAAAAATAAGTGGTCATGGGGGTGTTACAATAAAACTTTATTTACAAAAACACGGGCCAGGCCAGTTTTGGCCTATAAGCCATAGTTTGCCAACTTTCTTCTTGGCAATCTAGTTCCTGTTTACTTGTTACAGATGGGTCACTATGTGTCCCAGCTCTGACCACAGAAAATCTTGAGTGAAAAATATAACTTCCTGGGCGGAGCATGGTGACGCACGCTTGTAATTCAGCACTTTGCAAGGCCAAGGCCAGTGGGTCACCTGAGGTCAGGAGTTTGAGACCAGCCTGGCCAACATGGTGAAATCCTGTCTCTACTAAAGATACAAAAAATTAGCTGGGCATGGTGGTGGGTGCTTGTAATTCCAGCTACTCGGGAGGCTGAAGCAGGAGAATGGTTTGAACCCAGGAGGCAGAGGCTGCAGTGAGCCAAGTTTGTGCCATTGAACTCCAGCCTGGGCAACAAAAGCAAACGCTTTGTCTCAAAAAAAAAAAAAAAAAAAAAAACAAGACTGCCTGAAAAGAGAGAGATGAAGGAGAGAAGAGAGAGAAAGCTTTTTTAAGTTGCTTTATTTTCTCTTGCTAACTGCTTTAGATATTGTTGGATTAGGATGAAATGTCTGGAGTTGCGGCAGCCTTTTTGGAGCCATGAAGAGATCAACACCAACACTAAAGATGACAGAACAGAAGGATGGAATGAATGGAAGTGCTTGACGTTGATGCTGCTAAATCAGCTCCAGAACCTTCCACCTCCAGAGTACTTGTCATGTAAAAATCGTAACTATCTTTGCGGCTGAAGTCACAGTTAATTGGATTTTGTCTTGGATGCAGCAAAAGCATCCTAATTGTAATACTTGTGGTTCTTGGTCAGATGCAGTGGCTCATGCCTGTAATCTCAGCACTTTGGGAGGTTGAGGCGGGCAGATCACTTGATGCCAGGAGTTCAAGACCAGCCTGGCTAACATAGCAAAACCCCATCTCTACTAAAAATACAAAAATTAGCTGGGTGTGATGGTGCACACCTGTAGTCCCAGCTACTTGGGAGGCTGAGGCATGAGAATCACTTGAACCTGGAGGGCAGAGGTTGCAGTGAGCCAAGGTCACACCATTGCACTCCAGTTTGGGCAACAGAGCAAGACCCTGTCTCAAAAAAAATAAAAAAAAGAAATATTTGCAGTCCCAATATTTAAGGACATGAGTGCTAAGATGAGGTTAAGTGCTGTGGTTCTCCTTGTGGGACTGTCCTTCAAGATGCCCAGACATTCTCTGGCCAGGGACCGTGTAAGCAGACAGTCTCCGCCAATCAGACTCTCACTCCTGGAAACTTGAATATAAACAGTCAGCCTGTCAAGGTTCCTTGATTCTGAATCTCCCTGAAGCCGCTGCCTGTCAGTTGCTGGTGCCTGAGTCTTCTTTCCAATACCTAGTTTTTCACCTTTTCCTTTGATTATTGCAAGCTACCCCCGGAATTCCATCTCTCACATGCGTTCGAGTATCTGCTGCTTGTGTCTAAAACTCCCTGCCTGATATGGCATCTAAACACTCTGCAGTTTGAAGCAGAACTGGGAAGGCCGGGTCTTTGGACCAGAAAATGGGCAAAGGAGCTGAGGAGAAGAGGATGCTATGGAAGGAAAATGAGGAGATGTGACTTTCATGCTAAAATGCAGGGGGAGTTTTCTTCCTAAATATATATATATGTATGTATATATTAGGGTAATCAATTTTAGCTAAGTGACCTTACAGATAAACAGACAAACACAGACAATAACAGAAAATAAACTTCAGAAGCTGGGCGCAGTGGCTCATGCCTGGAATCCCAACACTTTGGGAGGCTGACCTTGGTGGATTGCAAGAGCAGCCTAGGCAACATGGTGAAACCCCATCTCTACAAAAAATACAGGAATTAGCCAGGCATGGTGGCACATGTCTGTAGTACCAGCTACTCAGGAGGCTGAGGTGGGAGCACTGCTTGAGCCCTGGAGGCTGAGGCTGCAGTGAGCTGTGATCTCACCACTGTCCTTCAGCCTGGGCAACAGAGAGAGATTCCGTGAAAGAAAAGAAAAAAGAAAGAAGGAAAGAAAGGAAAGAAGGAAGGAAGGAAGGAAGGAAGGAAGGCAGGCAGGCAGGCAGGGAGGGAGGGAAGAAAGAGAGAGGGAAAGAAAGACAGAAAAGAAAGAAAGAAAGAGGGAGAGAGAGAGAGAGAAAGAAAGAAAAAAGAGAAAGAAAGAAAGGGAAAGGAAGAAGAAAGAAAAAAGAAAGAAAGAAAGAAAGAAAGAAAGAAAGAAAGAAAGAAAGAAAGAAAGAAAGAAAGAAAGAAAGAAAGAAAGAGAAAGGAAGGAAGGAAGGAAGGGAAAGAAAGAAAGAAAGAAAGAAAGAAAGAAAGAAAGAAAGAAAGAA